GCATGTAAACGGTCTGCAGAGTCAAAACCCTCAAAGTACACCCTGTAGCGAGTAAAACTCTAACACAGAAAAGACCTCCCCAAAACGCCTCGTTGGAGATACGTCACTGTCCATTTGATTCTTCCGGGTACGCATGATGTCAACCGTACCCGGAACGAAATGGACCAATCCGTGGAGCTGTTACGTTACGTCCGCGGAGCCGTTACGTTAAGCCCCCGCTGATTGGTCCAAATTGACCAATCCACGGACTTCCTCACACACTCAGTGCAGGCAGCTCTGCTGATCTCTCCTCCCTGGCTGCAGGCTGATAACAGACAGTTGGGATCGCGGTGAAATTCTCTCTGCAGACCCATTCTCTCTGCAGACCCATTCTCTCTGCAGACCCATTCTCACAGCGTTTATCAACCTTTTTCTTACTCAATATCAAGCCACACTTATTGTTTTTACTTCGGCTGTGACTTTGTGTGTGCTCAGGGTGAGTTTGGCTGTGTTTGGCTATGTATCGCTAAACAAGGAAACCACACCTCCACGGAGCTCAGCGCGATCCACAACGTCCCGACCAATCAGAGCACACTGTGCTCACAGGGAGGGTGGGGGCTGGAGCTATTGGAGCTACAACGAGCCGTTAAAGGCAGAGAGTGAAATTCAGTGAATACACGTAGTTTACAGAGATGCTGTGAGAAACCAATCTGAGTTTGGAAAATTGCACAATATAAATCTATTCTAGTAGACCTCAACAATGGAATTATGATCAGTGGAAATGGCCATGACATGGGACCTTTAAAGCTAGATTTTGCCCTTAAATTAGCTAAAAAGGTAGAGAATAAACGTGTGCAAAGCGTTGGTGTTGTTTCTGTCCTCATCTGGTTTCCTCATTCTAGTCGGCTGGCTTATTAAAGTCTGTGTCAAACCACTTAACCTCCTTATATTTGCATTTAATTAAATCAGGATGAGTGATGGCGGTGCAGCGGGGTAATTGGGTGTGTCACAAAACTAATTTTCTCACCTCATCTGTTTTCTTTTTTTTCTTCCTCCCTTCTCTCCTCTTTTGTTTTTGTATCCACTCCCAATCTATACTATACCTACAAATATTCAAAATAAATACCTACACCATCACTTTCGATCGTCATGCTCTAGATGCATTGTGTATCGTGTAATATGCATTTCTCACAAAACACACGTAATTGGAAACAGTGACTTAAGAGTTGAAACGAGTTGCTGATGGACTCGCGGGAGTATCTTGGAGAATTAATGACTGCATCAGCAGAACTGTTTAAGTTTAATATATGGTAGTAATTAAGGTGGAACATTAGCATAAACACCTCCTGGAGGCACACTAAAGCACTAAGAGTATTTCTCCATATGGGCTATTTTTTAACGTGGTATTTAGTGGAGATATTCTTTGCTTTTTGTAATGATTTCAACAAATAAAGGTTTGTTTTTTTGCTGATGTTCGGGGGCTTTTGTGATCAATAAGGGTCTGCTTTAGTGATTTGGTCTGACACCATAAAGTGAAAGATTGTATAAGATGTTTTTAATCTAAGTTGAGTGCTTAACCTTGTCACTTTACAAGATAAAAAGAATACGCCTAGGATAAATGTTATTACTGTAGGTGCTATAATAACGTTGGTGTCAGCCTGCAGTACAGAGAAATATGTGTCGTGACAAATGAAAATATAAAAGTATGTCGTCAAAAGTAGATGAACAGGATTAAGGTAGTTCATGTTTTCAATAAAAGGTTAAAGGACCTTGAAACTGGTGTAAAAACATGTGGGATGTTTCATTTTGCTGCTTGTCATCACACATCTCCCTCAAAATGCTGGTTTGCTGATTTCTTTCTGAACCCATGAATTGTTGGAAGTAAGTTGTTGTCATAATTCAAGTTGTGTATCTAAAGGCAATGAAATGAGCTCAAGCTCTCTTTCTCTTAAACAAAATGTATAGTTCATAAATAAGAGACAACAATAATAAGACAACAAATAAAGGGGTAAAATAAATAAAAGACTCATGATTCAAACTAAACAAATAAGGCTGTAACAGTTCCCCAATACTCCAAAGATTTTCAAAAGAGATATTCTTATTGTCTTTTTGCTGTCAAATCACACATTTCCATGTAATTACAGCTGGATGATTCATGTGTGATCAACAGGATAATTAGGTGTGATTCAACCTCATTTTCTCCCCACATTTCTTCAATTATCCGTCAGTTTTCCGTCTCCTCAGCTCATTTGATTTAATATCTGTGGGTTCCTCCTGTGGCTGGCATCCGATCCTCTTACTCCTCCTCTCCTGCTGCTGTCCCAAAACATATCAGAGCACTTACACGGCCTCATGTCATCTCTAACCAGCATCTCCCTCGCCCCCCTCGTCCCAAATATCCTCCACCTTTATTACACACCAGCTTGTATATACCCCTTCACACACACACACACACACACACACACACACACACACACACACACACACACACACACACACACACACACACACACACACACACACACACACACACACACACACACACACACACACACACACACACACACACACACACACACACGCAGTTGCTGCCAGCCAGGTGCCAGTCAGCTGCTGCTCTGCCCAGAAATGACTGGCACCAGATACAGTATGTGTGTGTATCGAGCTGCAGAGGCGTGTGTGTGTGTGTGTGTGTGTGTGTGTGTGTGTGTGTGTGTGTGTGTGTGTGTGTGTGTGTGTGTGTGTGTGTGTGTGACAGAGGGTGCATGCCTCACATGCCAGAAAAGCCACTCGATCTGTTTCATTTGCATTACACATACGCCCAAGAGAGTGTGTGTGTCGATCTCTTTTCCTGCACGCCTGCCTTTGGCTCCCATTACCAGTAACATAGCAGTGATGATGAGAAGTGATGAGAGTGTGTGTGTGTGTGTGTGTGTGTGTGTGTGTGTGTGTGTGTGTGTGTGTGTGTGTGTGTGTGTGTGTGTGTGTGTGTGTGTGTGTGTGTGTGTGTGTGTGTGTGTGTGTGTGTGTGTGTGTGTATATATTTGCTTGTAAAGTCTGTGTGTGGCAGAGCAGAGAGAAGATTTGCTTATAGTGAACAGATGAGATTATGGACGTTACATTTCAGTGTAATATTTTTTTGTTTTCATTCCCCGTTTTAACAGGATGCCAGCTCATGGGGCAACCAACCGGTAAGAAGAACAAGTATTCAGATTAAGAAAAGAGACATGTATGGAAGAGGATTATGAGAAAATATGCTTTGGGATATGATCCACATTTTACCTGAAAATCTCAAAATTCTGTATTTTTCCTCAGAATTCTGACTTTTTTCTCTAAAATCTGATTTCTTTCTGATTTTTAGCTTTAAAATCAGGAAAAACTTGAGACTAATGTTTAGTAAAAAAGACCCATTTCAAACTTGTAACACAGATAACAGAGGTGCTGGTGATGCAGTTAATTCACTCTTGATTCAAACAGAGGACGCACGTGAGAAGAGATGTTTTTGTCGTACTCTAAATCTTCTGATGAAGGCGGGATGTGAATGTGGAGGAATGAAAACAGTAATTATCATTTTTAAGCGGGTCATGTTCGGATGGATTCATGTTTCATTGTGCTGGAAAATGTGCAGCAGGCCAGCGGGCTGCATGGACTAATTAAGCAGCGCAGAGGAGTGTGTGTGTGTGTGTGTGTGGCCTAGCATTACTATACTTGTGGGGACCTAAATCTGTTTACATAGTCACGTGTGGGGACTCGCCTCCCTTATGGGGACAAATTGGAGGTCCTCATGAGGGGATTCATTAATTTTAGAGTGAAGACTTGGTTAGGGTTAGGGTAAGGGTTAAGGGTAAGGGTTAGGCAGGTGTTGGTTATGGTTAAGGTCAGGATAAGTCTCCAGGAAATGCATGTAAGTCAATGCAATGTCCCCTGAAGTGATGTATACATGGTATGTGTGTGTGTGTGTGTGTGTGTGTGTGTGTGTGTGTGTGTGTGTCCTGATGTTTCTTGGAGAGATGAAAGCACTCCCTATGCTTTGTGTTCATTAGCGTTAACCTTGTACCTGTGAGATTTGTACAGTCTGTCTGTGAATGGAGAATCAATGGAGCGTCGTGGCGCTCTGATAATGTTCATAAAGGAAGATTATTGAGTAACGAGCTGCAGTTTAATCAATGAAATCCGTCCCACTTCACTCGTAATCCTGCATGAAACACAGCACTACACTTTCTGCTCTGCGCTCTCAAGCTGCATTTATTTAAATTCTAGTTTGTTGCATTTAATTAGGTCTTAATGAGCCGTACTGTTTCACACTACAGCTTTTAACCCTGTGAAGCATAAGAATTACTTTTTATGTGTTTTATTTGCGACTACTAGGACTCATAAATGTTCAATTCAGTTGCAAGAAAAAGCATCAAAAGATTAAGATAGTAATATATTAATGATAAAGCCTAATGATAAGATGTGGCATGTTGCTAGGGGCAGCATGATACTGTATGCATTGTGTCTCATGTAAGCACTATGAATCATTCAATCAATCAATCTTTATTTATATAATGCCGTGTCTTTACAAGCCCAATACTGTTAATGTTAAAAGTAGGAAAATATTAAAGATAAAGGAATAACACAAATAAAATGTAAATAAAATAAAACAATCATCAACAGTAAAATGTTAATATAAAATAATACAGAAAAATTATAATAATAATTCAATATTAAAAAATAAGAAATAAAATCTTTGAAATTATTAAAAATATTTAAAAAACTAAACAATAAAGGGTAATGGGGCAGATGTAGTTTTTGTTACTATGCGCCTTTTACAATTAACACAATGAAATATAAGCTTTATTATCTGATTTTTTAAAATATGAGTTTAATGATTTGTTGAACTTGTTTTGAGCTGTTTGTGTTCCTGTGAATGCTTCTTGTTTCCCGTTGAAAAAGAGAACTTAATCACTAAGACACTGCGCTAACCTGCAACCTCTATGCTTTTCTACAAAACTAATCCGTGTCTCTCTTCCTATCCTCAGTACCAGGGAGCACGAGACCCCGGAGATGAACAAGCTGCGGCAGAGCCTCCGGAGGAAGAAGCCCACCTACGTGCCCGAGGCCAGCAGACCCCACCAGTGGCAGGCGGACGAGGAGGCGGTGCGAAAGGGGAAATGTAACTTCCCCGTCAGAGTGAGTACCCTAAACCCTCTTCCATATAATGCATGCTTTAAATGTCACCTATTATGCAGAATCCTCTTCTTCATGTCTCTTCTACATCAACATGTGTCCCCTCTTCTTCATGTCTCTTCTACATCAACATGTGTCCCCTCTTCTTCATGTCTCTTCTACATCAACATGTGTCCCCTCTTCTTCATGTCTCTTCTACATCAACATGTGTCCCCTCTTCTTCATGTCTCTTCTACATCAACATGTGTCCCCTCTTCTCCATGTCTCTTCTACATCAACATGCGTCCTCACTTCTTCATGTCTCTTCTACATCAACATGTGTCCCCTCTTCTTCATGTCTCTTCTACATCAACATGTGTCCCCTCTTCTCCATGTCTCTTCTACATCAACATGTGTCCCCTCTTCTTCATGTCTCTTCTACATCAATATGTGTCCCCTATTTTTCATGTCTCTTCTACATCAACATGTGTCCCCTCTTCTTCATGTCTCTTCTACATCAACATGTGTCCCCTCTTCTTCATGTCTCTTCTACATCAACATGTGTCCCCTCTTCTTCATGTCTCTTCTACATCAACATGTGTCCCCTCTTCTTCATGTCTCTTCTACATCAACATGTGTCCCCTCTGTGGAAAGACACTCTGAAAGTTTCAGGAACAAAGATTCTCTCTCTTTTTGATCCATTTCTATAAAAACCTGTCTGAAAATGAGCTGATCAGATTTTGGCCACTTTATGATGTCATAACGATGTTTTGTCTTGTGTAACCATTAGCCAATCAGCAACCAAGGTAACCCCCCCCCCCCCTTATCACCTGAATCTCCTCCTAGAGCACCATTGTGTTCTTTGTAACCAAATGTCTCTCAGAGGGGCGTGGGGAGGGGCTCCTTATTTTCATCTAAAGTAACAGAGAGAGAATCAGCACTTTGGAAACAGGGCTGAAAAAGAGGGGATTATGGGTAATGCTGCAATGATCTGTTTGGTGTTTCAGCCAATCAGAGACAGGCTCTGTATATATCTGAGACCTGTAATATATTGATGAAAAACAGTATAATAGGGGACCTTTAAAGCGCCCCTATTATGCTTTTGGGTTTTCTCTTTCCTGTAGTGTGTTATATAGGTTTTTTCTGCATGTAAATGGTCTGCAACTCCTTTGTTTACTTCTGGAACATAATGACATCACTATGTTACACTTACGCTTCTATTGGCTAGCGCTCCAACACATTGTATGTGATAGACTAAGGGGCGGGACATCTCTAAGCTGTTGACCAATCACAACAGAGCCTGCCAGCTAACCAATCAGAGCAGACTGGGCTCTGGTTTCAGACAGAGGGTGAAAAGAGACAGTATGAGAGAAATAAAGAGCTTTTTGAACATGAAAGCATGGAGACATGTCACAGGAGAGACACTACATACTGATATGAACCTGACAATGAGGAGAATAATTATGTTCTCAGTGGCACAGTAGCTACATTTACTCAAGTAATGTATTTTTGTGTAATTTTGTGGCACTTTTATTTATATTTACTGATTATTATATACTTTTACTCCACTACATTACAGAGGCAATTATTGCAAGTTGAAGATTCAGGTTAATAATACAATATATAATCAACAAATAATTTGTCATGTATATCTCCTAAGCTACTGAATACAAACAGGAGTATCTTTAGTAACACAAAGCTCAGCTAAATAAATCACAAGGTCACGCTCAAAGGGCAGATGAAGGTTTCCCGGATAGAGGCGGTACATTTATCACAACTCCTGCCAGTACATCCTGTTTGAGGACGTTGTGAAATAACAAGTGCACTGGATCCTCATTTATTCAGCACGTTGCCCTCCAACATCACAGAAGAACAGCTAACCCTGAATCTGTGACACATCCGTCCAAAATGCTGAATTTACACGTCATATATTCTTGTCTGCTATATATTTAGCTTAGTTTAGCATGCACTCTGTAAACATTGACCTTAGCATTGGTTGCCTTTGATGTTGGCAACATGGGAATGAAAGCTTTTGCTATTTCAATCAGGAGAGACTTCATTTTAAGTCATGTCATGTTTGTTTAGTAATTTAAAGGTCCTGTTTTTCAGGTCTCAGGCTCGAAAATGACATTCCCAGAACACATGACCATATCTTCCCTTATAAAAGGGGTAAATTAATAATCTTTTTTCTCAAAGCAAGGTTAAACCTGTGAGTTGGATGTAGAAGTGTCAGAATCAATATAGATGTCTTTATTTTAAAGTAAATTCAGATTGAACACAGTAAAAAAATGTAAATTATTGTGTCCGTCCAAAAAAAGACTAGACTAAAAGCTTTAGGAATCCAAACTACAACATATAATAAGTACCCTGTATCAAGATTGATGCAAAACAAGTGAAATTTGACCTTTTTAGAGAGATTTAGCAAAAAAAAAACACTTCTGGGGTCATTTGGGTGGATTTGACCTATCTCTGGCCCCCCTTGCTCGATTTTGCTGATTGACATCTCTTTCTAACCGTCAGAGCCAATGGAATCGAGGGGAACTCCCACATACTCCTTATTTGGTCATGTGTGTGTGTGAGCATGACGCATAGCCAAAACCGGAAGCTGCGATAACTCTGGTGGCTACCATTAGCAGCTAACTTTTACTCTCCGATTTTTACATAAAAATGGAAATATGGATTATAAATTAAAAAAAATTATTCCACAGAAACATTATCAACCTATGGATCAACCGATTCAGCCGCGTTTTTTCTGGTTTTAATGCCATTGAACACGTCTTTTAATCAGATTGACAGCTACGGTGAGACGGTCTCCCGTAAAAGCTACGTAAAGGTACGTGTTGTGATGTCTGTGTTTGCTTCCCCTGTCGCGAGTTCGGATTACTCAGTGATGATATATATACCTAAATAATCTGTGGAATCTCAGCTTTAATCGGATATCTTGTATGTGCAGCTACGATAAGTAATAAGGGTATCTTTATCTTGAGTTCTGTGCCAAAGTGCGTTAGAATTGTTCGCTCAGGGGTCATTTAGATGCTTCTTATAAAACTTGTGTTTTGTTTTGGTAAAAATTGTTTGTATCGTCAGTTAGCTGAGATTATTCCCGTTAATCTGGTATAACACATTAATAGGTTCTTAAATATTAAGATGCCCTGAGACACAGTGTCGTGAAAAAAGTTATTTTTATTAGGGCGGAAGTTGCTTTAAAGATTGAACCCAAAAAAGTTGTGAACATTTTTTTTTAATATAATGTTTTTATCAAAGTCTTTTGCAGTGGACATTTTTGTCTCGAATGACTAATTTGCGTAGTCCAATCGAATGATACCGGAGGGTTAACAGAACATTTATTGACACATGTGATAAATGTTAAGTCTTTGGCGATTAGACCCCAATCCTGAAATCATATCTAAAGGGGGAAATGCAGCCGTGAGCATATAGGGAACCCCCGGGGTCTAGACACTGGTGATGATGATGATGATGATGAAGATCTGTATTTGATGAGGAGATGGGATGAAGAGGAGGTGTGATGAGGTCTTTGGGTTAACTCTCCTGGCACTGGACGTGATGAAAGGACTGTAGGGCTGCACGATTTTGGGAAAAAATCTAATTGCGATTTTTCTGACAAATATTGCGATTCGAATTGGGATATTTGTTTTAAGAGACCCAACGGAAGTTTATTGTAAAATGCGGCCATATCTCCGGCTAGGAAGGTCGTATCAACGTGCTCCCGTCTCTAGCACCCTCGCAGCCCGAGCTACGAGTGAAAAAATTAAACTTACATGAAACTTCCGTTGGGTTGCTTTAAAGTCAAGCTTCAGTTTAAGATGCACCCTGTAATAGAAACATGTGATGGAGCATTACTAACCTGACTCAGGTGGTTGGTTTCACCAAACCATCTAAAGCTCCATTGGAAGCCATTTGGAAAGGGCAGGCACTTTCAAAAATACTTTGCATGTGATTGGATCAATCTGTCTATCACCTTCTATCATGGGCCACTTCTGATTGATTAACAATGGCTGGTACATGTGGAGCACAGCACTTCTGATTGGTGTGGATGACTGACACACAATTTAAAAAAAAAAATCGCGATTTCAATTTAAAATCGATTAATCGTTCAGCCCTAGAAAGGAGGTGTGATTAGGAGGAGGCGGGCGGCAGCATGAACACCTGAAATCACAGCTGACTGCAGGAGAGAGGAGAACCATTTTAAAGTTTGGCTGCAGCTCGGTGATTGGCTGCGGGAGAATGAGGTGAATGTAATAGGTGATAGACAACGCCGTGATGAGCTAATTATAAGCAGCTGCGGAGTGAATGTATATACACCCAGTCTTCCTGAAATAACTTGCGCTGAGCTTCATTTATTTACTCACATCTCCAAAAAACTGGATTGCCTGGATTTGATGCACGCCTCCTACAGTATGCAATCAATGTAAAAAAGACGGGAAATATTGATGGTCCTATTTACTGTAAGCAGCTTCAGTGAGAGTGTGTGACGTACGAGAGCAGAAGTGATTTGTCGAAGAGCCACAGAGACAATAACTTTAAGAGAAAGGGGGGGGGGGGAAATGATGGTGAGGTGGGGTTGTTGATAAGGAGACAACAGGAAGTGACAGGGTGAGGGATGAGGGGACATTGTGAGATGAAATGAGGCAGCAAGAGAAAGATATGGAATTGGATAAGAGAGGTGAAAAGAGAGGAAGGCAGCGGACTAAAGGGAGAAACCTGAAGCAAAAGACAAATACAACAAAGGAAGAGGAGAGTGTAAGAAGAGATGGAAGCTAATGGAAAAGGCTCCTGATGCTCCAGAGGTTTCACCATGAGGCAGCGAGAGGGAGCTTCGAGATGGAAACACAAAAAACACCAACCTTTCAGTGTCGTTCTTGCAGCTTTTCTTTCCTCCTCCTTCCCCGCTTCATTATATATATTTTTTAACAAACTCTCCATTTTCTTCCTGAATGTATTCACGAGTCATGCACTATTAATGCCTGTGTGTGTGTGTGTGTGTGTGTGTGTGTGTGTGTGTGTGTGTGTGTGTGTGTGTGTGTGTTTGTGTGTGTGTGTGTGTGTGTGTGTGTGTGTGTGTGTGTGTGTGTGTGTGTGTGTGTGTGTGTGTGTGTGTTTGTGTGTGTGTGTGTGTGTGTGTGTGTACAGGGGTGCCGTAAGGGGGTGAAAAGTTATGAAGATTCTAAGGGCCCGTGACTGACAGGGGCCCAAACTATTTTAGAACATTAAGAAATGTTTAAGTAACCAATGTGATATCTTTTCATGGGGCCCAACATGTGTGTGTGTGTGTGTGTGTGTGTGTGTGTGTGTGTGTGTGTGTGTGTGTGTGTGTGTGTGTGTGTGTGTGTGTGTGTGTGTGTGTGTGTGTGTGTGTGTGTGTGTGTGTGTGTGTGTGTGTGTGTGTGTGACAGAGGGTGCATGCCTCACATAACATAAAAGCCACTCGATCTGTTTCATTTACATTACACACACGCCTCAGAGTGTTTCTGTTGATCTCTCTTCCTGCACGCCTGTGTGTGTGTGTGTGTGTGTGTGTGTGTGTGTGTGTGTGTGTGTGTGTGTGTGTGTGTGTGTGTGTGTGTGTGTGTGTGTGTGTGTGTGCGTGTGTGTGTGTTGTGATGTTTGTGCTGGAGCCGCTTTATCCAAAACAGCAGTCCGGTTAGAGAGTTGACACGGAGACAGGAAATGCAGTCTTTGGACTTAATATTAGCTTGGTGCTGATCATCAATACAGAACACATCATCTTTGATGTAGAATCACCTAGCAGTGCTTCTCAAAGTGTGGTCCGCGGACCACTGGTGGTCCGTGAGCGCCCCCTAGTGGTCCGTGAGTATATTGGTAAAATTTCACATTTGAAATAAATAAATTTATTTAAGTTTTTCGCACTCTCGCGGGAATATCTCCGCAATGGAACGAGCTTAAGTTTCACTTTCGATTGCATGATATAGCCCAAATAAGCACCTTCATCACACATGTTGCCACTTGTTTGTACAATTTTCAGGCGATTTGTAAAAAACGATGTGTTTTTGGATATTTGTGGAGTTAGGTGGTCCGCGAGTGTTTTTTTATTGGTTAAGTGGTCCTTGGTATGAAAAAGTTTGAGAAACACTGACCTACAGGATGTTGAATGGGGATGATGAGGATGAAGATAATGACAATGTAGAGTAGAGAATTATTTATTCTTCACTAACGCATTCTCTGGGACGATGCGACCGCAATAATGTCCTGACGTGAACGCACATGTGTAAACCAAGCCCCCAGGAAGTGCGTTGGACTCTGAAGAAAATATTCGTGCTGGCCAAACGGTGGTACTACACTTCCGTATGAATCGCTGGGCCCGGAAAGACTTTTCTCCATTGACTAACATCGGGAAAGAGTGGTCTGTAAATCGTTGGATACTTTTTTAAAAACTAAACAACCCAGTATAAACGTTTATAGCCCTTATTAAAAACATTCGTCCCTCAAGTTGTAAAATGTGCTAATAACGTTATTCTCAGTTATTTCCCTCGGCATTATGAACGCGGATCTAACCCACGGGACTGCGCCGCCCGGCACGTTCATGTGACGTGTTCAGCAATACATGAGTTTACCTTTACCCATGGATGCACGATAAGAACGGATTATATGATTATATGAATACTTTCGTGACATTTCGCTCTCTCAAAAGTTGGGCCATTTTGTCTTCATGCGCCAATGAGCAACTCTCACTGTATCCAGTTCTTATTATACATCCATGGTGTAAACAGAGTGAGGACCCGCAGCTGTGCTACTTTAGCAGTCCCTAAATGTGCCTGATTAAAATATAAATAATATTAAGGAAAACAAGGGGAATTTACAACACAGCCAGAGGAGAGAAAACACTGTTCATGCGCTCATCATTAGGAATCTCCTCTTTCCAATGGTGAATACAACTCAAAATGTGTCTTCGGGTCAATGTGACTGATTTCGATAGAGCAGGTCACATATACAGTATATTCAGCACAAATACACACATACAACTGTTTTTATAGAGAGGTGTCCGAGCGAGGAGGCTGCCAGGTTGTTGCTGCCTGAGAGCAGATAAGATAAGTCCCTACAGGCTAAGCTACTGCTGCCTCTTTATAAACATCATTATATCAAAACTCTCATAGATGGATCCGCCACACTTCCCATATTGATTACATTTTAGTTCCTGGACCGATAACTTAATAACTTATTCTTGGCTTTTCACCAACGGGGAGCTTTAATTATGTCCCTGTGGGCTTTCCGTACACAGCAGAATGCACGAGAGACAACAACAGGGGATGAGAGGCGATAAATTATCATAGTGTCTCTCTTTCTCCTCTCCTTGTTATCAGCAGCAGTGTGTGGCTTTACATCCTGTATGGCTGCTTATTAGCTGCTCCTGTCAATATGTAAGACACTCATGTAAACGCTGATGGGCACTAATGAGGCACTGTTTGTTTTAGGTCACTTTTCCTTTGGTTTTCAGCTCAATCAGCGTTATTTGCTGAAGTGAATTGCAAAAACAAAGTAAAGTGAAATTTGGGGTGTTTTTATTTAAATATGAATATTTCTGATCTCTTTTCTCCGCAGTACCTGGGGTTGGTCGAGGTGGAGGAGTCGAGAGGGATGCACGTATGTGAAGAGGCGGTAAAGAAACAAAAAGTTGTAAGTATCCCACACACACACACACAGAGACACACACACGGAGACACACACACAGAGATACACACACAGAGACACACACACACACACGGAGACACACACACGGAGACACACACACGGAGACACACACACAGAGACACACACACACGGAGACACACACACAGAGACACACACACACAGAGACACACACACACACGGAGACACACACACACGGAGACACACACACAGAGACACACACACACAGAGACACACACACACAGACACACACACACGGAGACACACACACACACGGAGACACACACACACAGACACACACACACACACACACACACACACACACAGACACACACACACACACACACACACACAGACACACACACACGGAGATACACACACACACAGAGACACAAACACACAGAGACACACACATGGAGACACACACACAGACACACACACCGACACACACACACACACACACACACACACACACTGAGACACACACACACACAGACACACACACACACACACACACAGAGACACACACACACACAGAGACACCACACACAGAGACACACACACACACGGAGACACACACACATATACACACACACACACACACACACACACACACACACACACTTCCCCTTGCTGCAGTACTGGAGGTATATATTTTCTTGCGTAGATGCAGTACTCACATACTCACCCTAAGGATCTGCACATTTCACTGGAGCTCATTATTACAGACCCAGTTGCGCAAAGCTCATGCAATACAATATCGACCAGGAGCAGACACACACACACACACACACACACACACACACACACACACACACACACACACACACACACACACACCTTATCCTGTCTGCAGTAACCTTGTTATTTTCTCTCCTATACCACTTCCATCGCCCTCCCTGCTGGGTTATATCTTATATCTTTCTATCTGTCTGATACATCTACACCCAGGAGAGCAGCCAATTAGATGTTGGCTAACATAAACATGCACAGCAACACACACACTCACACACACACACACACACACACACACACACACACACACACACACACACACACACACACACACACACACAGTTTCCCCCTGGGAGGCTGGTTCGGACAGGGAGCGTGTGAACACAGTGACACAGACTGGCCACACTCACAGTGAAGAGAACAGAACAAGTGGAGTCTCCAGATGTGCACACTCCACTTTTTTCGGTGTAACTGGATCAGAAACATTAAAAAAAGCCAGGGCTGACATCATTTAAAATGTTATTGCATGATTATCTTGACCCAAAAGGGGAAATGATTGAATTATATGCACTAAATGCAACTAAGTAACCTGTCTCTTTAACCTTTTTTACCATATGTTGAGTCTCTTTGCTTGACTTTTCTTAAATGTATGTCTTTATTGAACAAAGGAGCACGATGGCCAAAGGGTGCAAACGTGCTACAACGGCCCAAAACATTTCCATTAGGCGAAATGCGTGGAGTTTCTGAAACTTCTTGCAGCATTTCGTTTTGTTTTGTCTAGAGGCACAACATACAAAAGATAAGATAAGAGGAACTTTATTGATCCCAAATTGGGAAATGTTTGCGTTGCAGCAGTATAAAAAACAACAACAACAAAACAAGACATTGCACATAAGTAAATGAAAGAGTAGAAATAAACAATACTAGAATTTAGACATCTCAAAATAGAATTAAAACAGCATTAACAAGTAGAAAATATCCAGTAGACGGTGAAGATAAACAAATCTATATACTCTGACAATAAAACACTATTGAAGGGCTTTAGACACAATATAAAGCAGGTTGTTATATACGTTAAGAGTGTAGGGAATGGAAGTGTAAGGTGTAGTAAATAAACTGCACCTTTGTTAACACTGTATGAACCTGACAATGAGCTTCACAGAGCGCCTTTGAAACATAACATCTCAATTCAGTGTCCACTCTAAATCTGAAAATGTAACTTTATCTAAAAAGGCTCCACTTTGTCAGAAAAACTTGTGGAGAGTAGTTTAATATTCACAGGAAATCTCTCTCTCTCTCTCTCTCTGTCTCTCTCTCTGTCCTCTGTCGTCTCTCTCTCCTGTGTG